CGAAGCCCAGCGGCACCGCCGCGCCCCCTCTCGGTTTTTGCCTCCGACGAGGCCCTTCCCGGCCTCCGTTCTATGCAATTTTTATATCACCGTGATCACCATTCTTTTCTCTACAGGTTGACCGAAGCCAAATCACCAAAACACAAACTTCGCCGGAGAGTCGCCGTACCCGAGAGCGCCGCCGCCGGTAAGCTCCGTTTTTCCGTGATTTTTTGGCCCCCCGAGGGCCCTAGGGTTGTTTTCTGACAAGGACCAATGCGAGTGTGGCCGAATTCGGCCAAAAACGGCCGAAAACAGTCAACCCGAGGCGACTCGCCGCTGCCAGCGGCGGCGCCGTCGCCGGAGCACGGCGGAGCCGCCGTGCCGGAGTTGCGATTTGGGCCGAAAGAGGCCCTGGGCCTAATTTGGATTTTTTTTGGAACCCGTGCAGGTACTGTGAGCGTGTTTCAGTTCCCCGGGAAAAATTCAGGGGAAAATTAGGGACAGCCTGCAGGCGCACTGTGAATCGTATTCGGATCCCGAAAACAAGTAAGGACCCCTCACCCTATTTCCTATCACGGTATTAAAGTTCAAAATGATAAAACAGTATTTCTTGAATTAACGCATGTGTGAAATTGCTTAAGGTTGCTAATGGAGCCCGAGTCTAGTGTGATTGATGATTTACTGTTATTTGGCCTGTTTACAGCTTTAAATGCAAAATGAGGTTTGATGTGTTCATTTTACAGATTTGTGTGCATGCACTACGTTTTTATTAATTATGGGTTGAATGACTGAAAAACTGATACTGTATGTTGTCTGTTTGGTATAAATTACGATTTGCTTGTTTAAATGTGAATTGATGATGCTGATTGGGGAAAAGGAAAAATGAAAGATTGTGTAAACTGATAATTGTATTATGGGGGTCAGCCTGACTAGATATCCTGGGAGATGGTGGACGGACCGGGTCCGTAGGGAACCCTACCGGGATTGTGGTCTCACATGCCGGACGGGGTATGGAGATTTTATGGTTTTGGCGCCCATACCGGACGGGGTATGGGGACGGCCCGTTTCACCCTCATACCGGACGGGGTATTGAGGTTTATGGTTTTGGCGCCCATACCGGACGGGGTATGGGGACGGCCCGTTTCACCCTCATACCGGACGGGGTATTGAGGTTCATGGTTTTGGCGCCCATACCGGACGGGGTATGGGGACGGCCCTGGAAACTGATTATGAATGTTAAAGGTTAACGGGTAGCGGAACCCCTATGGACCCCCACGGATACTAGTAGGCTGGTAAATGAGAAAAAGATATGTTGTAAAATGATTGAATTACAAGAGGCGTGATAAGTGTTATGTTTTACAGCTTAGATTATTCAATGATTATGATAATGTTATTGTTTTTCTCATATTGTTTTCATAAATTCCACCAAGGTAAGTGGATGGTCAAAGTTTTATTATTGATAAAAGGTTTTGTTGTTAATAAACGAGTTTATTGTAAATTATGCTCCATTGGTCTTTTTGTGGTTTTTTACCCACCTTTATCTCCGTGACGGTGAGATATCGTGATGTTCTTACTGGGCTAGTGTAGCTCACTCCTTAATTAACCATTTCAGATCAGGAAGACATGGTTCCCGAGCCCGTTCCGCAGGAGGACGACGAAGGGGATGCCTAGAGACTCTGTAGTCATACGCATAGTTTTATTTTCGAGTTTCTTTCTTAGTTAGTTTAATCTTTTATATTTTAAGTACGTTTTTGGTTTTTCGTGTAAGGGATGTTAAATGAAATTTTGATCTCGCTTCCGCATTCGATATATTTAAATACTCATTTCATTTTAATATTTTCCGGGGCCGTTACAGTTGGTATCAGAGCCGCATTTCCTCGGACCCATCCCTTACACTATAGTCCTTAAAGAA